GAGCAAAGAGGCAGCAGAAAACACAGTAAGTTTGGCAAATTAACTTTGTGCAAACACCTCCAGCCCAGCCTGCATACTAATTCTACCATTTCAGACTGCGGTGCTGAACGGGCACTCCAAGTGGATGAGACACAGCCACAACCACCAAACCCAACTTTCCTGAAACCAACAGGGTTTCTGCATTTTCAGAGGGAGAAAAGAAAAAATTGTCTTGGAGCATCAGGAGTAAAATTTTTTCCGTGTCATGTCCCTCTTGAGCTAGAACTTGGGAGCACAAGCGATCGAACCAACCTGAAAAGCTGCTTTCATTGCCGTGAGCCTGTCTCCCATCGCCCCAGTGGATGGCTTGTACGCCTCGTAGTTACTCATCACACTGTTGTTGTTTCCACGATCCTACGCAAAAAGACAAAAGGGCAACTGGAGAGATTTATCCAACACTTCCAGTTCAGCCGTTCTCCAAATCTATCTCAACTCTGCACTCTGGAAATACACCTGCTAAGGAGCAGAGCAGAGCGCGAAGCAGCTCAACAGTTTGTCCTGTGACCTTGAGGACAACAGAAAAGTAAAAAGGATTAAGAAGTTTTAGTGACTCGCTAGTCAATTGTGTAACTGCATTTCCCAGCTCCTTACAGTACAAGCAAAAGCAAAAGCAAAACACACTCGAAGAGAGATTTTCAGAGGGGTCAGAGCCAAGACAATGTGTGGACAAGGCTTCAGCTCTGACTTTTGGAGAAATGCTGAACTTGTCATGTTTTCAACAGGTCTGCAGATAAACTCTGTCCCCAAACACACCGGCAATGAGCTGTTCTCCTAACATGGGCGTACCTGAAGTAAGCATTCCCACAAATCAGCCTGGAAATGGCTTTTCAAGTAATTTATTAGCATTTATTTTGCATTGGCAGTCTACTGGAGAATTTCCAAATCTTCCAGATCGCTCTAGCCCTAAAGAAGGCAGCAAGAGGACAACAGGACAGGACAGCTTCACTTGATATTAACTCTGACAGATTTTGGGCTATGAGCAGAGGCTACCCTCCAGCACTAAGAATATTTTTCGAAATTAAACAGTAGTCAAAACTAGGTTGAAAAGTTCCAAGAATCTGTAAACAACTTCTTCAGCATCTCCACTTACAGAATTTTCTGATCCCAGACCGGGACGTTCACGGTATCCTAAGCCACCACCACCAATATTCAGCTTCTTGCCTTTTCCTCCTTTGAAACGTGATTTCCGGAACCATGGATTCTGTACAAGAAAGGGACAAGAAAAGAACTTTCATCCATGTTCAAGTCTGGGGGGTTTGCATTCTAATAAATGTGATTTCTAACGCCGTTCATTTGGGAGCTCACCACTTGCTCATACTTGGGTTTTATTGATGTAGCTCACTGCCTGGTTAAGGCAAGAGGAGGTTCTGTCAGCAAAACTTCCTGCAACAAGCAGTGGCCAGGAAAGGTCCACCCAGACCTCCTGGTACCGGGTTTTGAAATAATGGTTGGCTGCACCTCTTTCTATGCCCTATAGTATCTTGAAATCTGAAGAAGCCGGTAAGCCAAGCCGTTCAGCTTCTATACTCTCCTCCTAAAGGCAGCCTGCGGAGCTCTGCCTCACAAATCCCACCCCTTCTGAAAGTGCTGCCTCTGTACCTCAGAAAAAAAAATTAACTTGTAGCCGCAAGCGGCCAAACAGCAATGAAGCCACAAGCATGCTAATCCACCTCTGGATCTGGGAATTACCAAAAAGCCTTTGCTCTCTTGCCGCGAAAGGCAAGAACTTAAAGAGCTGACGAGCCCAGTGGCGCAAGCACAATCGCTGCAGCCATCCGTCCCACCTATACACAGCCAGGCAGCGCTGCCACGCAGCTGTAACGATGGAGCAACAACCCTTTCGCAGAGCGAATGGTCCTGTAATTATTTTCTAGTTTAGCTTTCAACTGAGCTGCGTTTCCCAGGTGCCTGCCAGAAATGCACATTGAAAACCTGATTGTAACGAGACGCTGGAGCTGGAGCGCTCCGCTGGCATCAGCCGGATTACAGCTCCTAATTTCCTAGGCAGTGCCTGAGCCCCAAATAGATTACATACTGCATCCCAAAATCTTCATTAAAAACACTAGAAAGTCTACTTTAGAAGAGTATAGAGTGCCAAAAAGTCACTGCTAACACACGATGGAGGCAAAAACAAGTCCCCGAGCTCCTGATCTTGTGCTCATCACAGACGGAATCTGCCCCTACTCCAGGGGTTTCGCTTGTTCATACCTGCATTGCTAGATCCAGCAGCTCTTTGGAAACATGTTGATTAGCACCTTCCAGATTCCTGACAAGATCACCAGCGAAGTTACTGTCTTTGGGAGTCAGCAGAGTGTAGGCAACTCCCTTCTCGCCTGCTCTGCCAGTACGGCCAATTCTATGGGTGTGCGTATCTATGTCCCGAGCCACATCGTAATTAATGACTGTCTTAATGGAAGGAATATCCAACCCACGAGCTGTAATAAAGAGCAACGTAGCGGTAAGTATAATTATCCAGAGTTATCTCAACGTCTTCTCATTCATACCAGCACATCACTTCATCCTGGCCCAGCATATGAAAGGACTTCCCACAAGAACACCCCCCAGTTAAGACACCAAAGCTCCTACGCGCAGCAGTATCTTCTCTAACAGTAGCATAAGTTACACCGACCCCCAAGTTCACAGGACTGGAGATGGGAGAGATCTCTTTAAATGACTCTTTTTCCAAGGAAAAGAAAGGGCTTTATTAAAGGACACTGAAATTCACTCTTTGCTCAGCTGAACATCTGGGTACAAAAGCGGTTCTAGAGAAGGCTTCAAGTGTTTCCATCTCCTCTTCATTTAAGCATGCGTAATGTGTCAGCTGATTAACAAACAGCAAATACCTCCTTGAGAAACAGCTTTATCCTACTTCTGTATATTAAAACCTATCTGTCAGACTGTAATTTAAACAGCATCAGAAGACTTTAAAAATAAAGGCCCTTGCTAAGGCTGCGCACTTCTGAAAAACACCTGGAACACAGCGCCCAGGAGGATTAGAAGTCGGCACTGTTGCCCTCTACTGAAATGTGGCATCAGCCTTTCTGCTGATATCCACAACCTGAATGAGCTGCTGTTTCTTAGAACGTCACGTACCTGCCACGTCAGTAGCTACCAGTATCGGGATTCCCTTTTTCTTAAATTCTGAAATGACTTTATTCCTCTCACTCTGGTCCATGTCCCCGTGAAGCAGCCCCAGATTATGATCCTCCTGCTTGAGGTTATTGGCCAACTCTTCTGCGTTCGCCTTCTTGGTGACAAACAGGAGAACGCTCCCAGAAGATGTGAACTCCACGAGGCGTCGAGTCAGCCAGTTCCATTTGCTGGGGCCAGAGGGGAAAATCTCCACAATTTGCGTAACGTCTTCATTTGCCTAAGGAGAGAAAAACGACAAGCAATAAGGCAAGACAGAAAGGACAGTATGGAAAACACATCCAGGTTGTAGAATGAAACAGGAATTTAAAATAGGTGTGAGAATAAAAAGTCGAGAGGCATGGGACTGAAATTCTCCTTAAAAAGGATTCGGCTCTTGTCTAACCGACCGCTTCATCTTCACGGCGCAGAAAAGGCAGGGGTTAACCGAGCTGCTCTTTGCTAAACTTGAGAGGCCAAGGGCAGTCTTTGCCATGATGCAGTTTGAGCACCCACTCATCTATAGCCGGGGACTTGCAATCTAGATGCTCTCACGACAGATGCTACCAACACCTAAAATAGACTGTGCAAGAGCAGGGTCTGAGAGGGTGAGGATGCTCCTCAGCAGAAGTTACTTAGATGGCGCTCAGAGAAAGTGTTCCTGTGAGCTGTCACTTGTCCTCGGAGTCAGGAAGAGGGGAGGCATGAACACACACCACCCTACACACTCTGTAAGCGCAAGTAATAAACGTGCAGTGGAGCTCACAGAACTATCTGGAAGTTTTTCTGACAGATTTAATTTTGTACACACTTAAATGCAAAGACGATACTCTCAGAGTAGTAATTCAGATCAAAGAAAAGAAGCCACATGGCTGAGCTGGGAAAGCTGCCTCTTCTCTTAAGTGATGCTCAGGCAAAACATTTGCCCATAAAGACGGGGCTTCAAGGCATTTATTTTTTGTTATAAAGGGATACTTCCCACTTGTGATTGAAAATAAATATTAAAAAAAAATGCAGATAACTGGTTAAAAGAAGAATGTTTGAAGGCATCTTGTGAAACTTCCCAACGGTTTTCATAAATTATAAGAAAAGTTTCTTCATGGCAAGTGTAACCTGCCCACTTCATTGATTTATTACCAAAATCTCTAGTCTGCTCATAGTTCAGCTGCTACTGTCACACAAGTAGAGAAGCAACATTCCCCCGTAAACCAGCTGAAGGACATCACAGTCTAAGTTTCAAATCCTTCATTGTAAAACTTGTGATTTGTTTATAGTTTTGAGACAAAAGGATATACCCATTGATTCAACCTCATAAAAAAATAATCAAGCACTGCATGACGTTGTTTCACTCCTTGATGAAACTTCCCACCACTGCAATATTTGTTGCCAGAAAGTTCAGTGTAAAAAAAAGCCACCCCAACCCAAAACTTTAGTATTTTTTGTTAAGCACAAAGTATTTACTCTCAAATATAAGTGATGACTACTGCAGTTTAACTTAAATTTCAGACAACAGAAACAGAACGGTTTATTTTTCTGTCTCAGAAGCAACGTGGAATTACCTCTCCAATGTCTCCCTGCACAACACGAATTGGGTCGATCAAAATATCTCGGGCCAATTTCTCAATCTTCTTCCGGAAAGTGGCACTGAACAAGAGAGCTAAAAGAAAAAAGCAGTATTTGAACTCCTCGAAAATTAAACTTTCTTTGAAAACCATGAGAGATCTTGTGCTCAAGGTTCTGTACAACAGGACTAGATGTCAGCGATCTGGAGCTACGGTCTGTTTTACTGGTTCTAATGAAAATTATCAATCCCGCTGTTAGAATCCCTCAAAGTGGAAACACATTTCATGGCATCCGAAATAAAACATCAATAATCTGCCGTGAGCTTTCTTTCATGGCAGCTTCGAATGCAGGATCTCAAAGCATACGAACGTTAATTCAGCTAATCACCTTTTCCCTGAGCACAGTCTATGGAGGGATTACGGCGGAACGCCCACACTTCACAAGTGTTCCCTCCCAACATCCCACGCTGGGAGTCACACCAGTGGACTTTGGCACAAGTCTCATCGCGGGGCTGTGTCAAGGACAGGAAATCCAAGCTCTGTTCCAGATTCTCTACTGGGAGCCCACCGAACAGCCGCAGCAGTTTATGGAGAAATATGTGCTTCTACTTACTCTGTCTGTCAGGACGCACGTGGCTCGCAATCGATCTGACCTGATATTCTGGGAAGGAGATGGAAAACATTCTAATCGACATCGTAAGCTCATTATTTAGTAGAATGTCTCAAACTACAACTTCATTGCTTTATTTAACAAATAACCATAGAGTGAATGAGTGCCCCTCACTCAGTATTTAACTCTACTGTGACCTTCAGGAGCTCCTTTGCTGTACAAAGAAACTTTTGGAAGTTCCCTCAGCAAAAAGTTCCATAAGCAGAGATCCTGAATCTGTGCATAACCTGGACACCTTACAAGCGTCTGCCCGCCTTTGCACTGTTACAGTGCTGTCAAATCTTTGCTGCGTCCCATGATTCTTGAACACAAATTCAGACCCATCCAGACCTGAATAACCAAACCTCTTACAACGAAGCAGAAAATTCTTCCCACACCACCAGGTTGTACACCCAGAATAAAAGCACAGAAGTGACTCGGCCAGAAGTTATTCAGCAGCTCTTAAGATAGAAATCAGGACGTTTGGGACTTGAATATCAACAGGACTTTGCTGATCTATTTATAGCAAGAGATATTAGACCTTTAAATATGAGTTTTGTCTATGAAGTGTTTTCTCATTGTATTTTCAAGTACGTGAATTTACAGGGGTTTAAGCAGTTCTGCTAAGCTGGGAACTGGACACCACTGCTTTTCAAACCAGTAAACTTTGTTGTTACATACCAAAACCCATATCAAACATTCTGTCAGCTTCATCAAACACAAGGTAGGTGACTCTCTGGAGGTTTGTAGCTTTCTTTTTCACGTGATCGATCAAACGACCCTGTGAAAAAGAAAAAAGAAAAAAACAAGTTTTTCAAGCATATTTAATCCTCACTCGTCAGAGACGCAGAACTGAAAATATCTCAAGGCTTCAGTCTAGAAGTAAGTGGCAATATTCAAGCCATACAGATTGCTAAAACTCTCATCAATTGTGCTTGACAAGCTGGATTTTAGGACTGTTTTTTCAAGCTTAACATTGCTGAGATTCTAAAATTCCCCACTCTTCACTACAATTAAATTTTCAATGTGAACTGGCTACTTAATCCCAAAATTTTCAGCTCTACACCGATTCAGGAAGACAGCACTCAACTTCATGATATTCTGAGAATTTCCTTCATGAATTTAAGGCTCAGCAACCAGAAGCTGGTGTTGGGAGCACAGCTGACACAGATTCAAGCAGGTCTTCCTTAGTACTCTGTCTTCTATTGGAGATTATACCTAATCTCTCCCAATTTCTCTTGGGAGAAGAATAATCCCAGCCTATTTGTTCTCGACATCCGATAACTGGTGAAGAACTTAGATTTCAGCGATCAGAGAGCAAATTCTGCATCACTGACGGTATTAAAAATCTGGCTCAGCCCCAGTTAAGCAACAAAAACAACTGTACTGTGTGCATACTGGTACTTACTGGTGTGCAGACAACTATCTCTGCTCCCTCCTGGAGGGCTTTGGCTTGCTCCCACATGCTTCCTCCTCCATACACAGCTACAGAGCGCAGATTGTACGCCTTACCAAAGCGCTTACATTCAGAATGGATCTGAGAATTTGAAACAAAAGCACATCACGGTTCATGTTAGACAGGTCTGAGAAAATATAACAACCTTGGAAATATAGTCCAGCTCCTGAAATCCACTTTTCAGCTAATAACTTAATGAAATTATCCAGAAAACCTCAGAGTCGAATACTTCAATACCTGTGGGTAATTTCAGAAACTTCTTTAGGCATCCAACCACAATTTAACCTGCAGGCTTTTACACACACAGTATGTGGCAGTGCATCCACAGTATTCTTAACATTTCGAAATTATATTGAAGCACCGTGTCAAAATTGACGATTTCAGATTTGTCACGATCCTTCAACAAAAAGAGGTGCTGGAGAGAACTGTGAGCTTACATCACGCGCGTGCCGCTAACACGCTATTTTCAAACAGGTTACTGAGGTCCTCTGACAATTTCTGCCCAGAATTTTGTCTTCTTGGACAAGGACACGGCGTGGCACATACACGTGTACTGCGCACCCACCTGTTGGCAGAGCTCTCTGGTTGGGCAGACGATCACTGCGATGGGACCATCCCCCGGTTCAAGCTCCTTCTGATCCATGATGTGAATCAACATCGGCCAGATGAAGGCTGCTGTTTTGCCACTTCCAGTCTTAGCTATCCCAATCATATCTCTGCCACTTAGGGCAACTGGAACACCCTAAAAACAAGGAGATTCTAAACCCATATTATGCCTATCGCAGCACATTCTTGTGCTAGGTATTACGGGAAAACTCAAGATAACAAGAGGTAAGTGTGTTACAGAGGACACACAGCAACACATGTCAATGCTCATCCAGTTTTATTGCCAAGTTCAGATCTGAATTAAGTTTGGTTTTAAGGGCTGGAAGCAATTCCAGCCTTAGGCCCTGTAAGTTCTATTAGTTCTCTTTAGATGTTGGAAAAGTAACAAACACTCACCTGACACTGTATAGGAGTGGGCTGGGTATACTCGGATTTCCTAATTTGATGCATAAGTTGTTCATCAAACCCAAAATGAGCAAAACTACTGCCAGGCCTTGGAGGAGCAGCACCAGAGACCTTGGAAACAGAAATGTATCTTTGTTCATGAACAGTAAGAGAAAAAAAAAGAGCAATCTGTACAAAAATGAAAGCTACGTCCAAAAAAAGGGAGTAAAAAGATCCCAAGAAGACAGTTTTGTGACCAGCTTACCCGGAGATTTAGTTTATGACGTAACTCCACCACTTGCTGCGGGGTGAGACTGGTGATCTCCTCATGCTCATCGTAGAAATTTTTCTCAAAGGGTGGATATTCAATCTGCAAGGGCAATTACTCAATTAGTCCAGGACTCAAGATTCTCTCCGTACACTTAGTTTTGGATGGGAAGGATCCTTTTTCTCCAAAGTTCTTAACTGTCTGCAAGAACATTTGTTGAATATGAAGCTACATCAAGGATCTTTAGTATGTTTTCCACAGCACAGCACTGAAAGATGACAGGGACGGAAGCTTATTTCAATCTGCTTCTCAGCTCCTGCTTTCTAGAATGCCTCACACAGAACAGAACAGAATAAACTTCCTTCCTACCTCTGAATGGTCAATAGGTGGAAGAGGATCAATGATCTTTTTGGACGGTGCAATTGGATTCCCATCACTATCGTACTCCAGGTTATCCTCTTCCTCTTCTTGGACCACGCCAGCAGTGGGGTTTTCAGCCATGTAGCGAAAATAAGCTTCCTGCAGCAAAACACATCAGTAAAATCACATACAATAGGATGCAAAAAACCTGCTACATTTGTTTAAATGATGTATGTGCCATCTAGGCTGTTTGCTTTCACACCCACCATTGAGGAGAAAAAGAAAGCACGTTCACTAGAACTGATTCTTGTAATAAATACCAACAGTTATGTCCAGAAGGACAATAGGTACAAACAAAGAAAACAACTACAGTGTCAAGTGGAACACAAAATGCTTTTAGAAAACCAAACTTTTCTTACATGTCTGCTTAACAACTCCTCCTAACAAGACTTAACAATCGAAGAATCTATTCTTATTTCCACATGAACAAAGTACAAACACTGCGGGTTTTTAAAGAGAGAACACATTAATGAGCATAACGATGTTCACGTTTTTTAAACACACTACGCCAAAGATAGTTTCTCCACTTCCCCTAACTAGACTCTACGAAAATAAAATGTACCTATTTTTCATTGAGAGAGTCAAGAGCAAATGGGAGAGAAACCATTTCAGAAGAGACTTTCAACACAAACCCAAGTCAGAAGTCACTGTCACCACTGTCCCATCCTTACAGCTCACAAATACGGATGCCTCACAGAATCTCACTGGCACACCACGACATTCTCATGGAGAAAACATCAGTCTCATTTGACTTTCAAGCAAATATCTAAGATCAGATTTTTAAAGCGAGGTTCAGTTATGAAGAAAGGTCTCTACTCATTCGGCTTTTTCATTTGCCCGGCCAGTTATCGCTCAGTCACATAAATATGCATATGACACACCTGAACAACAGCTGTCTCCAAGTGGAAGTCACCTTTGCTCAGACTTCAGCACAGCTGCACCCCTCAAAGTGGAACCAAAGGCCTAGAGGCCAGAAAACCCTGCCATGCTCTGCGTTACTGTGAGTAACACAATAGCCATAAACTACAATTTAGTAGTAAGGCTTATTTTGAAATGGAGTATTTCCTCTTTTTTTACTCTTTCTATTACAGTAATGTTTATAAACCTCAGTCAGAACTGAGCTCCTCCCAAAAAGAGCAAAAAGCCCAATTCATGCCCTTAGCAGACGTGAAATTTCACTACAAATAGCCCCAACAGCGTAACAGCCTTTCCCTGGTGCTCCACGTCAGTTGATTCTGCTAATTTCAGATTTGGTGAGACTCTTAGTTACTGAAAAACCTGTACAGAAGTTCAAATTGACTGAAAACAACTTGAACGGAGTGAAAAAGAATGAAATTGTCTGCTAACATTTTTCTTCATTTTAGTGAAACACCTAGGAGGGTAGAAACAGCGGGGTAACCACTAGAGCTTCCTGCTCTTGATACTCGAGTTTTGTTTGTACCTAGCAAGTATATATTTGAGGACTGAAGGTCAAAAACAAAATAAAACAAAAGAGAAGATAGAAAGACTGCATAGGAACTCACTTGGTCATCTTCCTCTTCAATGTCATCTCGAATACCCCTGGAAAAACAAGCGGAGAAAAAAACTTCCCTGCAAGTGTTCCACATACCGAGCTCCGTACTTTCACCTGGTTAGTGCTGAGCTTCGTGGCAGACACAGCACTAACAACTCAGTAACATTTCTAATCCCAACCCATGGAGTTTCCACATTTGGTGCCAAGCATAACAGTGACCCTGCAAAGACTTCCTCTGACTTCTATTAATGAGATTGAAAGATTAGGACTTCGTCTTCCCCGGAGAGGCCACATCAAAGAGCATCGAGAGCTCAGACCAGGATGATACAGAAGTCCCATAACTGAAGAGGAACATGAGCCAGGAAGTGCAAATCCAGTTCAGAACTTCCCCAGGTGGCGATTTGGATCCGGTGTTCTGTTTCAGGACCACGTATAATCTGATCAACCTCATGCAATGCAAATTCTACTCACGTATTCGACATTTAAATCAAGCCTCAACAGCATAATTATTTTCCTCAGACAAAAGAGACAGAGAAGCTGCAAAAACGCAAACTGTTTTTAAACTCCAAATTTAGTATCCCCATTGTCACATGGTCCCAAATATATCAGCTTTACAGGGAAAGCCTTAAAATCTAGTTCATGTTTAGCAGAATCTCCAGTACTCCAGGTACAGCAGCACCGAGTTGTTTTGCTCACACAAACGCAATTTTAAACTCACCCACCCCGATCACCGGGAGGATGTGGAAAGAAGAAAAACTATTCAGGTTGATCTGGAAGCAGTACAATGTGCTGCCCCAATTTGTGTGGCCTAGAAAGGCTTCTCGCGTGTGAAAACCCTCAGTGTTGTTACGTTTTCCTGTAGGACGCCACCAAGGATTCTGCCCTGCTATTATTCAGTTTTTATTGCAAAGAAATTTACCCACGGGGGATATCATGAGCTGGTTGATGTTGGTTACTAGGTACATATCATATTGTCTATAGAACAATCAGCATCAACATTCTCGTAGCACCACACAAGACACAGACAGGCAAGAGAATTATAAAAGAGAACTTACTTAACGTTCTTTTTTTCTTTGTCTTTATCTTCAAGTCTCTTCATATCTCGAGCAGCTTGATCCTAACAGGTCATAAAATTATGACATGTTAAAAACCCCAAGATGATAAATCACAGATGGGAAAAATGTTCCCACATAACTAAAGCATCATACCTTGGAGACAAGACTTTTTGGACTAAATTTTCTTTTGTTTCACATCCTATTATGCTAAATAAATTATCCCACTAACACCTTTGAAATTTATATACTGTAACTTTGTGGTGATGCTGCTGAAAAAATACATTCTCTGCATTCCTCCTGACAATGCTGTGACAGAATTCAGCTAATAACAGAATTGCAGCTAAGGAACAGCTCATGATAAACACAAATCACTTCAATTCAGGTAGTGTAAAATGCACAAAATCTTAATTTCTTAGTCAGACACACAAAACTCTTTGTTGTATTGCCTTGACAGGCTCAGAACATTTAAATAGTTAAAACTGCGGTCAATCATATTCGTCCTCTCCCCATCAATTCCAAGTTATCTAATTAACACAGCATTTTACAAAAAAAAAAAAAAAAAGAAAGAAGATAAAGTGACATTCTGAATACAGCTGCCAAAGCCACGAGTGACATTTGCTGCTCCTGACTGAAGAGAAGTACGGCCACATAAATTAATAAAACATTTTGCAAGCTGAGTCTTGCCTCCACTTCAGCCATGAATGCCTCCAGAGGATCATCATCGCTGTCAGAGTCTGCTGATTTGGAATGAAACTGCTGGCGAGTGGGGGAATTCTCTGCGGGAATGTACGGCAATTCCACATTGCTAGAATCTTCCTCTTCATCCTCAAAGTACCTGAGGAGAAACAAACACTGGCCCAGTTAGCACACAGGCTACAGCTTCATGCTGGCTTTCATGGTTTCTGAGCCAAGTTTCCTACATAGAGATCGAGAATAAAAGTCAGGACGTGCACAGGAAAAGATGTTGAGGTGTATTTCTTTCTCTACAAACTAGAAGTGGTAGGGCAAGCAGATGTTATGAAACTGAACTTCCTGAGCGGCTCTCCCAGGCTGGTGAGTACAGGATGCTTTTCTGACCTCCCTTCTACTTAGCGTATGTACCGCAGCTAATAGAAGCGTTAGTAAAAAAACGGTGGCGTTGACAGTTTTCTTGCGCAAAAGACACTCAAATCTATCCTGCTTGGCTCCAGTTCTGAACACACCACCTCGGGCAAAGTCTTGTTCAGACCACAGCGTGACTGAGACTCAGCTGAGATGTTCTTAGTGAGGGCAAAGCTAGAGGAGAGCTCTCCATGGGCTGCTGTAGGATCTCACAGCCTTTTAGATAGACTTAAAAGCAAGGATGTGTTACTCTCATTTTACAGACGAAGGGCTGACACCCAGAGAAAGGGAAAATAATTAGTCCAGCAGCAAGAGGCAGCTGCAGAGCAGGGATGGGAGCTCCTGCAGGTGACCAGGTCAGGTTTTTGATGCTATTGCCATAAAGCTACCGGGGTTCTGTCACACTATCCTGCAGCGTTAGGGTATTTATCCTCGAGCCTTTATCCTCACAAACATCACTGATATTTTCCTTGAGCTTGAAAACCTTAAAACCCCAAAATCTAGAGCTTGATAAACACAAGAGATAACCCTACTTACGCATTCTCTTCGTCAAAATTCGCTCGCTTTGACCCAATTTTGTAGAAAGAAGGCAGCTGAGGAGGTCCTGATTTCGCAAATGCAGCAGAAGAACCGGCTGTTCCAAAAGCACTATGAGACTGCTGAGAGAGCTTAGGCTCCTCTTTTTTCCCAGGTGTTATGGCAAATCCACCAAAACCAAAGCCTCTCTTAGTACCAGGTCCACCTTTATTCCAATTCATGATGTCCTCAATATACCTGTTAAAATCACAACAGACAAGTTAATGCCGTTCCTGCTTTAGGCAGTTATATATAACTCTCATGATTTTTCTCCTAAGTGGATTACTTCAGTCATGACAGACTTGTGGAAACGTGACTGACAAGAGTTTGTTCTGTTCCCAGAAAGGATTTGAGTTTTGCTCTTTTCCTTTAAGGATGAACATATCCACAGTTGAAAAAAGAATAAAATACAGAAGTCATCTTCCAAAAGAGACCATGCCCGTCAGTGACTCCTTAAGTGTATTTAAGAAGCTGCCTGTCTTGTCTGTTTTACAGCGCAAGACAAACAACTCCAAGGTCGGAACTTTGAACATCAGGAGGAAGAAGAGACGCAAAGTCAACCAGTGCGTATTTCACATGTCCATACAGTCCCACCCTTGAGTGCTTCATGGTTTCGTAGACACCACACTCCTGCAATCCAGACACCTTTACAAAAGTGGGCCCAAAGTGACACACTGCCCCGTTGGGAGGCAAGGCACACGTCTGCCACAAAGTCAACTCCCTCTTCTTCTTAAGAAAGCATCTTTACCCATATGTACACTCTCCAACCCACGTTTTTCAAACTACTTTTAAAATCCTCCACACAACGTGATGTCCAGAACCTGGTTTTCTAAGTTAGATGAAGAGAAGACTGAACTGATATATTAAGATTTAACATGTTCTGTTCCAAGTAATTTAATTATTTCACCTGCATGGTCAAGTCAGTCATACCTTTAAGGCAGCCAAAGACAGGATGACACCCACTGCTTTCAAGTGCATTATAATAAGATAGCCCAAAGGCTCCAAGACTAATAAAACAAATCCTCGCATTTAGTGAGAATCCTCCAATGAGATCAAAATTCACTGGCAAGTGAAAGAATTTCAAAATAATCCGCCAGTAAATACTGGTAGCGCTCCCTGTGCAGAACATTTGCCAGCTCAGGACTGGCTCCGTAAATCTCAAGCCTAGAGCAGAGCTCACATGGAGACTTTGGGGAAAACTCTGCTGTTCAGTTCCATGGCTGACTCCAGTGTCCTGTCCTCCCACCCACACCGACATACCTTGCAGCTTCCACACCTGCAGACGTGCGACAGGTAAGAGGTCAAAATGTACAACAAACAGATAAAATGTGGAACTTTGCTGATGGCCCAGCAGGCAATCTTTTGTGTCATCACAACCGAATCTAAGCGTTCTTCCTTGCTGTACTTACTTTTTTTATCCCTCCCACCACTCCAGAAAATAAAAAGGAATTATTCCTTTATTCTGTCATACAGCAGCAGAAACACAAGAGTTGCTCTTTTTGCCCACGGAGCCCACTAGCGAGTGAGCAAGGAGAAGGTTCCTGCAGGACCCCGACGAAAGGCTGACTGCCCGGGCTCTGCCCCGCGAACACGGCGCCGGGGGAGGGAACGCGGAGGCACGGACCCTTTCCTA